GTTTTTGTAGAATTGCTTGTTACTTAAAAGTATATATTCATATTCCCTATGAATGGTGTTAACTTAATGCGGTTAATGTCGTTGAACCATGGATTTCATAGATAATTCCAAAGAAATTCAAATGATCATGCTTCGGCCATTGTAGATGTTAATAACATCAGAATAACAACAGAACATGGAATTTAATTAATATTTATCTCTCAAACGAACTAGCAGGTACCGTGTAAGACATGATATTACTAAACAGGAAATATAAAATTCAGTTACGATTGTAAATTATGGTCCAGGATAGTAATCATTCTAAAACTAAATCTCGCAATGCCGTATTACGCAAGGTCGAAAGCGGAAAATAATTTCTTGGGCACAAATCTCGTAATTGTATTTTGCAAAATGTTCCGGTAAGTTAATCTTTCGTTACAAGGCCGTTAACTTTTCATGCGCGGCCTTCTTCCATCACATTTGCACAATGTACAATTAGTTACAATTCTCACGTTCGTTTTCATTCGAATATCAAGCAACACAAACATTGCATAATATTTTGCTCATTGCACTTTGGATGGATTTAGCGATCGGAGAGAAAGAAACCAGCTGCAATTATAACGCCGATTAATAATAACAAGACAAAATTCGAATCAATTTTTGAAACACTCTTTAACATTAAACGTATTAACACTTCACATAAACACTGAAAACTGATCGAGTAGAATGTTTTCTTTGAAATCATAGGTAGGTAGATAAAATATATAAATTACAATACTAACGTGGAAGCATCTGTTCAAGTAATATAAAAATAATGCAGCTAAAGAATTCTCAAAAATTCCAAACATAGAACAATTATAAATGCTTCACAAATACTGAATATTACTACACTGCCTGTCAAAAGTTTAGAACCCCTTAATATGTAACGTCACAAATCAAAAATGATATATCTTATAAATATATAAATTAAAATAAAAAAATTTAAGTATCTTTATATTTCACTAATGCACATATATCCATGTTCCTTTTTCATACACAACAATTCTCCAATAAAAGTTGTTCACAAAAATGGAAGTCTCGCTTTCAAGCGATGTATTGGTTCCAATATTTTTCTTTCAACCACTATATTGGTCTAATGAATATACTTTACTCGACAAGATTAAAAAACCACTACGTTGTAATCGGAAAATTGTCGATTTTGAACTCCTCTAATTACAGTGCCCATCAAAACATTGGAAGCACTACATTGTTTAAAAAAAGAACCTCTGCTTTCCAAAAACAACTTATTTAAGAATCTTTACATAATAATAGAAGGCAATTATATTTATATATATTAATTAAATATAAATTAAATATAAAAATTGAAAAGAATTAAAATCTAGTATATGCCACCATTTAGGTGGCTCAAACTTTTGATGGGCAACGTATACAGCAAAAATTCGACCAACAAAGTCATTACGAAGCATGAAGCTTTTATTTTCGGCTTCTATAGGCTATTTTTTCCAACGATATTTTTGTCTTACGTAACGGGTGTAAATTAAACACTCTCTTTCATTTCCAAAACATTACGATAGGCACACGAATCGTTAAGAGCGGCAATTAAGTTTCATCGGATGCGTCGGGTAACGAGCGTGATCGACCAAAAGTGAAACTCCGGCGTCGTCGGTGGCACACCGGGTTCCCAACCCGCGAACGGCGCGGCGCGCCTAATCAACCGGAGATACAATCTACAAGACCAGGCAGATGTCTACGGTTGCCACCGGTGTTACGTAAAGGATTTTCACTCCCCCGCTTTTTCCGTTTACGCGGTGTATTCGTTAGATTTCCATTCGTACGCCTCGCTCGAACCTTTTTATCTCGGAGCGATCGCGGCAAAACGCGATTTGCCCGGCCTCGCTTGAGAACGAGAAAGTACCATTTCCTATTTACCCGCGAGGGGACGCACCGAGACGCTTCGCCGTTGTTTCGTGATTTGCATCGGACTACAATACGGGCTACGGTCGCTATCGCGCGCGGTTTTTGTCACGTACGCGTATACAGGGTGGCGGGGAAATAACTGGTCATACTTTAGTACCATACGAATAGGGACCGTTCAATTGTCAAATCGACTAACCGAGGTTGTATGTCTACTCTCGAAGCTCTTTTATCGTTCTAGCGATGTAAAGCCTAATATTTGTGTTAACATATTGCGTATGAGTCACGAAATATCTCGTGTATATAGCAAAAAGGACTGTGATCGGGTTACTAGATATCTTGTTTTAATGTCTTTTCATATTCATTTCACACTCAAGAAATTAAAAATAAATTGATTTTCTTGTTAAGTTACCAAGATAACGAAGATTTACACATTCTTATGACAAATGATTAGCGAAATAAATGTATGTCGAAATTCTGAAAGGTTAGAAAACAATCGATCAGTATTACATCGGTGGCCTGTGTCGATCGCGTATGGTACCATATAAAGTGTTTTATCGTTGTACAACATTTTGTTATTTATAAGATATATAAGAAATACATAGTAATATTTCATAATACTTCATAAATGTGAATTTAAAAAGTGCGTATATAAATAGTACAAAGTTTTTTTGGCGCTCTCAAAGATGTGCAGAGCCTTACGTTTATTTTACCATTTTATTCGTTAGAAGCAATGGAAAACGATACCAAAGTTTGGCCACTTTTTTCTTTAACACCCTGTGTACATAATAGCAGACGTGTCCGCGTTCACACGACGCGAATTCCCATATCAGATATTCATCTCTTTCCACCCAGCTCGAGATACTGTCGTTGAACGCGACACCCCGTCATTGTTGCCATAATTCTGTGAGACCCGTCAGTTGTGAAACGCCCTGTTCTTTGGACATACATCCTAGATTTTAGTAAATCGTTTGGAATTATGTTTGTCCAATTGTAACAATGAGCGTGAAAGAAGAGGGTTGCGTAACATACACAGGTAGTCCATAATACTTTCAATCCAATTGCTACGTATTTCACCAATTTCCGTTATATTCGTTGCAATATAATAATCATAACAAATAAAAACACAATTTTAGAATTTCTGAAACGACTAAAACAAATTAAAAAACGCCATATCAGACTACGGTTGAAGAAGCGATTACAAATTCCATTGTAAAAATCTAGAACCTTAAACCTCCAAAGAATGATTAAAACCACTTTGCCCTTAATTATTCCCTAGAAAAACAAAAGAATTCGATAGCCATTACACCTCTAGCTCCAGCATAAACCACAATTACCGTTAACAAGAAAATAGTATCAAATTTCCACCGAAAAGAACCGAATAAAACGTGCATCAGTAACATCCCCTTCGTAGCTTGTGCAACAGGGTTATCACGATATTTTGAGTCCACGGGTAAACAAAACAATTTCGACTTTCCAATTTCTACCCAGCCAGCTCTCCAGGATACAGAAACCAACCGTGCGTAGGATTAAAAGCGTTGCGTGCTTACGCAACGCGGCGCTTGCGTGATCCACGGAGCGTAAAGACGCATAGCGTACGCGCGTGTGTGCCGGTCAGGACACATTGGGATCATAATGTTGCGCGACAGTGACATACCGTCAAGAATGCCGCGTGTACGTGCGGTTAGGTGCGTATCGCGAAGCAAAGCTGATTTGTAACGATCCCTAATGAAAATAAAAGTCCTGTGGACGCGACGCCACGCTGGACCATTGGCGCACGCGCTCGCGCTCTCCGGCATTACACGCCGAGATAGCAGGCGTTCATAACGCCCGGCGACAATGACGTATCGCCGGGAATGCACTGGCTTGCGTTCGAACGCGAGTACGACCACGTCCGCCCTCTTCTTCTTCTTATTTTTTTCCTTCCTTTTCCTACTCGCGTGTTCGGAAGGATCTTCGCTTTTGCGCGGATACATTGCGATAGTTTCCACGCTGAAAAATCTCTACCTGAACAAGTCTCCGCCATTTCGTGCACGCCAACGGAATGGCTTAGTCGTATGACTGCACGGTACTCGTGACTGCGATTTTGCTGCAGCTCTTGGTAAATTGTTGAGAAGTGGATTAGAAATTAGGTGAGCGAAAGGATAACGCGGTATGATGTTAGCTCCTTATGTTGTAACCGAGAGTTAGTTGGAAGGTTGGAGAAGGTATTGAATTAAATGAGTATGAATATTGTTCGTCTCGTACCTACCGACAGTTATAATAGATTTAGTTTTGTAACGGCATGTGGTTTCTTTCCACGCGCGGCAGTTATTAATGATAAGGCAACTTTTGCGGGTTTAGTCACGAAATAAATGTATTTCATCGGTGTAACGCGCGAATCCTTTCTTCTGCGTTCTCGCAGAAGTCGTTTGCTTGAGCATCCGAGGGCCGATCTACCGAAATGGAATGTTACTTTATGCAAATACTTCTAGTGACAAGTAAATGGTGACTCAAGTAATTACTCGAATGAATGAATTCTGTAAATTATAGAAATTTTATAAACTATAGAAATTCTGTAGATTCCATAAACTTTTACAAATTGTAAAAATTCTACAAACACTACAAATTATAAAAATTCTACCGATTGTAGAAACTCTACGAATCTGACAAATCCTAAAACTTCTATAAATTCTAAAAACCGAACAAAATACGGGAATCCTGCAAACCACAGAACTCCTAAAAACGGTTACACAGATTCTCGGTTAACCGGTTATCTATTCATTAGCGTCGACGACAATACGAGTCTAATAATATTTCGCTGAGCGACCGATACAACTGCCGAAGCGGGGTATCGGCACGTCTCGTCGCGCACAGTCGGCGCAGAGTTGTTCGGTCGGGTCCGTTGGTTGCAGTGTTTTTGCAATTGCGATTATGTTGCAACGCGAAGTCGTGCGCAATACACATGCACACACAGACACACATAGAGACATACGGCCCTGAATGGAGTCATATGAACTCGTCTTGTTTCGTGTTCTGCCGTTGCGAAGCCGCGCGCCACGCCGCTGCGCGTTTCGATTAACGATAACACGAGGTTATACAATGTTAAGTTTAGTGTAAATGTTGGACTCGTTGAAGCCGAAGGGGCTCTCGATTTGCTTTCGTTGGGGAACGCGAGTGTAGGCCGTGGCCGTCGCCGGCTTTCTCGATTACCGCTATCGGCGAACGGGCGAGGACATACAAAGATGCCTTTTAACCCGCGATCAGTTGCGCGACGGAACGGAAAAACCCGGTGATTTTTCCCTCGCCGCGGGATCCTCGCCGGTTAAAGCTATTATAATGTACCACGCCAGGTATTCCGCCGCGACAGAATTGCCTCGGGAAGTGATTTTCGACTACGGAGAAACGTTAATGGCGGTGATAATCGGGACGGGTTAGTAGCCAGTAAAAAGATTTACCTTTTAGTCAGGGATACCCGCGTATTCGCGATGTTTTTTATTCGAAACATTTATACGCTATCTTCAGGATGTAACGTAACGTAGATAATTCCCTCTGTGGATTAATATTTAACTGTAAGGTATCGGTAAAATTGTCTGAGTTAAATTTAGGGGTAGTTTGTTCGAAGAGGAGCCTCTTTACTGAAATTTGGTGACTGAGTGGTTTTCAATTACGTTTTCGATTAATGAGATAGTGATTAATGATGTCGAAGTGCCTTTTTATTTGTTGTGAAAGTGGAATTATAGAATTAACATAATTAGATGGGATTTATTGAGAATTGACGATACTTGTATTTTTGGCGCGAGTTAAAAGTGTAATTACTAAACAGAACAGCAAAACAACATTCCAATTTAGTAATAATACTGAGCCGTCGTAGTTATATGTGACACGGTGGTGTTATTTTATCAATTTGTGGACCGATAAAATATCTTAAGCATAAAGTAGTTCGCTTGACAGTCCTCATTTGACACACCATTAAGACTGCATTTTCAAATGCAGAATGAATTTCGTTAATTTTGTAAATATGTCTAAATATACAAAAATTGATATTTTCTATTTCTACAACATTCTAATTTAATCCGATTTCACTCAAAACAATTTAACTAACGAAACAGAAACCGAAAAGTCGTCATTCTCCCCACAACAGTTACTCTCTTAACTTTCTCACAGCATATAAATCCAACAACATTCGATTCAATCGATACGTTATCACAAACATTAATCATCGAATCTATACAACGTGTTAACACTTTATCTAACGCAAGCCTATCCGATTTCGAACACTTAACAATCGGTATCCAATCAAAATTATACTAGTCTAAAACAAAACCAATCAGAACAAGATTACGGGATTCCCTTATAGCGTGATTCTAAAATTACAAAGGTTTGCCAGTGAAAACACACACCCCTACACGATGACGAAAACCATATTGGCAGTTAGTAAGTGGTCACCTTGATCAGAAGCGGTGGATAAAGTGTTAACAGTGTCACAACGATGTTTATCTGCAGCTACCGTGTTCTACATTACTCGAACCAATTGCCAATCAGTTCGCCACTCTACATCCAGGAGAGAACAGAAAAGGATAGGTCCCTTGTTTACATCAGAATGAAGTGTTGCCTTCGTGGATGAAGCAGTTTACGTTGGACAAGATATCGCTTACAGCGACAATTTAGCGCCGCTAGTTAGAATTATGCGCGAAACTGAATCCCCCGCGCTCATATTACGCGATAGGGCGATTTATAGGCCAGGCGAATCTGGCGCCCTCGCCCTGACTAGCCGGGCGCAAGGGGCACGAATTAAGTTTCTCAGCAATATGAGACGCGAATGCTCAAAGTCGTAATTTCAGCATACTCTATTACGGAGTTCTCATGAACTCTAACTGGACTTCCCGTTGCCTCGTTCATCGATCATCCCGCTCGATCCTGGATTATCCGGCTCCATCGTCGTCATGGGATCTCGCCGCGAATCGAAAAATCACCGGACTCTTCCACGAGATCACGTGAAACGTGGCCGAGCGTGTTTCCTCCCATTTAACATTAAAACTACCGGATGAGTTAAATTGACCTATTTCAGAATTATTATTTTGCAATTACTTAGATTATGAAGGCGTTTTTGCGAAAGATTTTCAATTAAATTTATATATTTGCATAGATACAAAGCTAGGAGGCCCTTCGAATCTCAAGAAACATGTTGTTCTAATTTTGATGAAACATTGGAAGTAAGTAACTGTTCGGTAATTTTAGTGGTAACATCGCGTTAACCCATTAAGAGGGCATGGATTAACACTAGAACTATCGTTTAATTATTCATATGTAATCCGTATAAAAATTGTAACAATACATTGTTTTTCGGTTTCTTCATACATGAGTTACAATATTGAAGTGAAACTATTCTTAAGTGATTTCGGATATTTAACGATTTGAAGGTATCAATAATTGCATAATGAAGAAACTGAAACTCGTCACTTTGACGGTGCGGTAGTTCTTTTTTACTGAGGTATTTGGTAAAAGGATCAAGTTTTTTATTTGGAATATTGTGCAACATTTTGACTCTATTCTCATATATTTTCATTACTGAGAAATACAAAATAGTAACGTTCTATAGAATTACCAGAACGGTTATAGCTAACAACGAACATGAAAAAAATTACTGAATTGTAGAAGATAAAAAATTCTTGCAGTAAAATAGCTAAAAATAAATTACTTTTTAATCATTTTGAGAAATGAAGAGACGACGCCCTATAAAAGGGACTTTTTCTACATTAAGAAAGTTAATGATAAGTTTGTATAAAAATTCGCAAGATTGAGGTGTAAATAAAATCTTGGACATCAAGTGCATATATACAGAGAATAGCAGAGGGATGGATGCAAATGATGAACAAGCAAAGGGGAGGTAGTTAGTGAAACAAATGGTTCCGTTTCATTAAATATGTTCACATGTTCTTTATTATGACGTTGTTAGTCCGCGGAGATGGTTGTACCTGATGAGGATTTCGTACTAAACCTGCAAGGACAAGGTTCAGAAAGTAATGGAGGCAGAAGAAGAAAATAGACGATCACGAGGCGAGGAAAGTCCCATTAGCAGCGAGAGGTTACTGTTCAACAGCACTGTCCCATAGAGGCAGAATAAGAAGAGTAATGGTAGTGAAATGGTGAAATTAACGGTGACGCAGTGAGAAAAAGTCCCTAGGCACCGGAAATTATGCTGACTAGCAATACTTTAGACAATGACGTTCGCAGTTACGTTCCAATCTACGGACCAAATTATCGTTCCCGACATCTAATGGACTCGAGGAAGAAGAAGCAGAGGTAGAGTAAGAAGATTCATAAACTCCGGGGCTTACGCAGCACCATTGCTATAAACAATATAACAACAAACGTTCTTGCCTCTCTTCGAATGTTTAAAACTACTGTAGACAATTAGTCCCAGGACACCCGATAGTAGTGTAACTTGGAAACACTATCTCCTAATGTCTATTCCTTAACACGTATTGCCCATTCAACTCAAGCCTGACCCATGAATCCATTAAAAGCAAAATAACCTTTAGTCATCTCTTTTCAAAAGACTTTTTCGTGTACAACGCTATGCTAGTAAAAAAAACAAATAATACTAGACACAGTCGTAAATGTGAGCTCGAAGCTAATTGCTGACACAAATCTTACTTCTCACTTTGTACAGTGATATTAGTTGTGATCAACATCAAAACCGAGTTAAACAAACTATAGACATTATGACTTAATGATAGAGCACATGCATTATCTTCTTGTCAAGAACGCATGGAATATCACGTATTTATACGTATCTTATAACCATCAAGTGGCTAAATTCATAAGCCTGCGGATCTGCCGTCTATTCAATTAATTGCAAAATTAAATCTGTTTAATGGATCTCAGATTATTCTAATTACATTTTATTTACTTTTGTATTTCATGTATTTATAACATCTTCGATCTTTCTAACATAATCCTCTCCTTCTTTAAAACATCTACAAATTATTTCCTAGAAATCTATATCTACTCGGTTTAATTATTAGACCCTGGATTTCACGCATTTATGATGAATACAAGTACATAAAATACAGAATAAAGAAATATATACAAAAGTACCAGAATGCTCTTACTTTTAATGTATTAAGATCCTTCACTGAGAAAATTAGTTTCTTTATCTCTGCTTAACTGTCTGCATGACATAGACTACGAAGATACACATTATTAAACCTATTAACTGTGAAATTTAATAACAAAAATCTCTCGTTTCGCGCGTAACAAAATCAAAAAACGAATTTTGTACTCGTAAAACACAGGACGAATGTACAAAGAACAATTACATATTTATCTGAAAAAATGAAGAATTCATATAATGTCAAGTTGAAAAAATTAACATCATGTCAAGCTTTAAGATTGCGTGTATACTCACACGCAGTTAACTGGTTAAAAAACTTCAGAATATCCCTATAACGTAATAAAAATATAACCACCATATGGTTAACTCTATACCTCAGAAATTTTGTCTGAAGCATTTTTTAGCATCACTCATATCTTTTAGGTTATCGAGTTTCATCTAGAAGACGGGCGTTTGGCCGCGCTATGCGACGCGTCTACCTCAAGAGACGAGGAATCGCGACGCGGTGACGACAAGCGGCGGTGGAGCTTTTCCCTTCGTCGGACGATTACGCGGGGAAGAAAGTAACAGTACTCGTACTGTTCGCGGGGACCGCATAAATCTCGAGGTTCCAAGCAAATTGTCCCGGGGCCTCGGTGGATGGAACGAGAGACATCGTCGTTGGAAAGAGGCGCGCGTTTGTGCGCGCAAGAATAACAGCTAACAGGAAACGTTGTACGTTGCCTGTTGTGTATCTGCCGTGTAGCGCGTTTGTAGCCGGCTATGGTAGTCCCGTTCCGCGGCTGTTGCCGGATACTCGCGGCAACGAGAGATCTCTTGGCAGCGGAACTTGGGGCCCCGATTTAATCTCTCTCGTTTTCTCCTACTCCCGGCGCATCTATCCGAGATGAATTCCGCGGATGAACGTATATGGCGCGCGGTAATTGTCTCCATAGGTGCCGCGCCGTATAGGCTGACGTGGCCGGTCGATGCGTTCGCTCAGGTATTACCAGGCGGCATGCAACCCTGGCAACCTAAAAAATTGCATGTACCTAACTCCTTTTTCACTTGTAAGTAATTGAATATTAACCCCATCCCGCCTACGATTTATTTCTCAGCTGTGATCGATGCGACTACTTTGTCATCAATAACTTATTGAGAAAAGAAACGAATTCTAGGTATACTCTATGCCCATGTTTGATTTAAAATATAATGACCGATAATAGAAGGATAGTATTTCATTTGAATTTATGAGAATTAAGTAATATTTACGATTGTTGAATTCTGGTTCAAATCTTCAGGAGCCTGTCACGATACTGTAGGGCAAGGTAACTCTTTAGGTACCAAATAAAAACTGTTAGGAAAAATACATTTATTTTCACAATATACATTTACTAGCTTACACCCTATGTGAAACGTTTCTAAACTGCAAGAAATAAAATATTCTTGTGGTAAAGTGAATAATAGATTGCCTTCAGCGTAGTACTATTTTTTTAACATCTCGATCTGTTGAATTTTTATAAATAATTGCATCGATACACTAATTCTTGATATTCTTTGAATTGGTACCCTTTGTAATTTTTATTATTATGAAAATAAAATATTATACTAAAAAATTTCCTTATTTCTTTATTTCCAAACACCTTATCGCTTCAACTGCCACATCGCCTGAATGCACGTGACACCACTTCCATAAATCAATATTAATGTTTTTAACGATAAGAAACATAGTAAAACAATTGTTATTGGAATCTCGACTTTTTACTTCCTGCTTCATTAAGAGAACCGTTTCGACTGCATAAAAGTTTCGACGAGTGTTCACTTGACAATCGAGGTATCAAAAGATCTCATTTAAAAAACAAACCCCCACGAACCTCCAAAGCAACCAGCCTCGTCCACAGAAGCAAAAGCCAGGGAGGCCAAATTGAATCGGTGGCCATCGAAATAACAGACATTACCCTGTCGCGCCAACCACCGCGAGCCACCGTGCAACAATCTGCTCACGATTAACGGTAAACCCGATCGGGCACGATTTCGCGTATGAATTTATCGGATGAAACAAACGTGGTCCTCGAGCTTCCGTCCATTAGCGCGGCTTGCGCTAGTTATCAATAAAACGGAATCTGCGTCATCTAAAAAGGCCGAAGAAAAGATTAACGAATCGCTTCCTCGTCGGTTATCGCGCAACAAACACCGCGGCGGGCGGATGAACGGTAACAATTTTCCGGATTCGTCGACATTTATTATGCATTAGATCGTCCCGCGTTGCCTGGCATTATCTCATAAGGACGTTCGACCGGACGTAGACGCGAGCGGCGCGTACACAAGAACGATGTTTAAACCGCGTTACCCGATTACGCCTGTGCACCGATAAATGAACGATCGTTCTGGCGACGGTGAGCAGCGTAAGGATCCACAAAGTTACTATCACTAAGGCGAACTATTATAATAATTCACGTTCATCAGCATAATGATAAGATTCCGCATCGGCGGACCCTGTAGTCTGGAGGGGGCGGGTGTTTCTTATCACGTGCAGATTGTGATAAGAGATACGCGCGCAGAATTAGTACGGGAAAAACCGTCAAGCTATCCTAGATCTATAGGGGACGCGGAACGGCTTCAAGGCGAACGGTAAATCGAGTGTTCCGAGCGGGCTCGAGAGCGGGACAAGATATCCTCCACGGCTTGCTGAATGTGCCTGCAGTTTTCCTAGGCGTGGGATACGTATTACGCTAATAGCGATAATGCGCCGTTTCTGTGAAGAGGATACTAAGAAAGTCGGTTAGCTCTACCGGGAGGACATTCAGCTCGGAGTGTATCGTATCGATAATGTTATGTGTCGCGTTATAGTTTAGCAGCGTTGGAATATACGTTATTGCCGGCGATTAGATCGAGTACACTGCCATCGGAAAGTTTGGCACGGGGTGTCGTTGGAAATAGGGGATGTCGTTGTATTTGAATATCGAATATGTTGACGTCTGGTGATACGAGATTTTTGTATTTCAATGAAGATGATTGCGTAAAAAGTTTTCGGTACGTTGGAGATATTTGATAATGAATTCTACTTTTGAACAAAAGGAAACTTGATACGGATTTTTAAAAGCATCTTTCTATCGGTGTTTAATATATAAATTTATCGTTTGGACATGTTTGATTATTTTTGGAGTTATATATTTAGGAACTATATGAATATATGTTTTGTTGAAAACGTTAAACTGACTTAATTAAAAAATGACGGCACCATGGCTCAAAGTGTTTTTCACATGTGTTTCCATCAGTTCATAATTCATTCTTCCGCAAGCTTAATAAATGTTCATTGAAACATCCACGCTAGCTCCGAACATAATTACAAATCCAGTTTCATCCGGCTGAATTACAGACATCCAATAACTCCATCTCTCATTGACAAAGGTCACAGCGGGAAAGCCGTATTACAGCCGACTCGTAATTCGAAATATTAATTTACAGGAATAAGTACGATCAGAGATAATTCCATTTCTAAACAGTTAATATCTGCCCACATCAACGAGCACGCTCAGTACCGACGACATTCGGTCGCTCGGAGCCGCAGCAGGACGTTTATCCTCGACTCCCGGTGCACTCCGCGGATCCCCGTCGTTACGAAAAATAAACGATAATACCGGCATTTCACTGTGTTTTGCAGATTAACCAGTCGCTATAAATGCATAAACATCCGCGCTCCAATAATAAGATAGGATCAAGTTTTAAACACGTAATATGACGCCACGGTAAATGCCTTTTAATGGCCCTAAATTTTTCTACGACGTATTATATCCCGCTCGGCGTTCGCGTCTTCTTCCGTCTTAGAAACCTAGCGCGCGCACATAACCTGTCCAACCGCGGATCTATCGTTCCAAGAGATCACGACCGATCGGTAAATAAAATTTACTGCGGCCGTTCGGGCCGTTGGTTGCATCGGCTACCGGGCGGGCAAAAATGGCGGGGCATTTAACTCCATGGTCGCGCTCATGCCCGCGCTTGCTCGCCACTACGAATCGGTTGCTCATTGTTCGTGCAACGTGGTCACGTTTACCCGCGACCGTACCGTTACGTTATATTATGCAATTGACACAGGTGCGTTTTCGTATACAATTGTCCACCGTAGTCAGCGGAGAACAATGAGACACATAAACGCGAGCCGACAAGAGAGAGATCGTCGCCGTGCGCCAGCTGAAACGTGAACGAAAGGTTGGGACCCTTCGGCCGCGGCGTCGTCTTCCCGTCCGGCCGTGATTCGTCACGAGGCTCGCTGTCAACGAAACCGCCTCCAATAAAACGGCGTTCGCGCGAGCACCGGTAAATCGGTAATGCCAGGCGAATTTCCACGGGAATTTCGCAGCGCGCGAAAACGCTGCGCCGCGCAGACACGAACGACACCGCATGCACCGGGCTAACGGTCGGCACGGCAGCAGGCTAGGGTGGACTACGTCCCGGTGCCACTCGTGGTCACGACTCTCTTTTTCTCTCTCCCTTTCTCTCTGGCGTAGGGATCGGCTTCGTTTCTGAATTGCCGAGCCGCTCGCTGGGTTTGAGGGTGAAACGACCGCGTAATCGCTCGCCGATTATGTAATTAAGCGAAGCGCCGAGCCCTCTCACAGTGTGTTTACAGATTATTTTGATGGGCCTGGCGTGGACGATTTTTGTGTCGAGTTGTGGAACAGTGGTTTTCAACTTTAGAGCGTTTAGGGGATTTTGAAGACTAAGGGGATACAGAGTGGAGTTAAAAGTGTTTGTAGATTATTTTAATGGGACTGAGATAGACAAACTTTGTGTGGATCAGTGGTTCTCTGATTTATGATATTTGGAGGGCGACTATTGAAGGTTTAGAGAATGGCGGAATGTGTTAGAAGTGTTTGTAGATTATTTTGATGGAACTAATTTATTCGTAGGCAATTTTTGCGTCGGCCTGTGGGAAGGTTGAGAACCACTGTACTAGATTAATCGATATCAGCTATTATAGGGAAGTTTCATCTTACAACAATACATAATGATACCTCTCGCTACTTATATTGCTCGTTTCTTGCGCGGTATTCTTTATTGATGATTATACATAGCAGCATGGGGACGCAATTATAACGGACAGGGGACACAATTTTTCGATCGTTCCTCTGGCTAGTGGGTTCCTTCCGCCTCTCTCCTTTTCATTCGGTCGTCACTGTCTCTCTTGTCATCGCCGTGACTTGAAATAGACGTGATAATTGACAATGAACTACGCGATAGCATGAGTATGGCGGAGCTATTATTAGATTTATAGACGTAATTGTATGAACGATGTTAGTACGATGTAAGTTGTTGGAGAAAAAGATTTCATAGGCTCCCATTATCCATTAAGAAAAATTGCATACACTACCGCTTGAAAATATTTAATTGGACAACGTTAAACATAGCTTTTTTAAATAAAAAGATGAGACTGAACGTTCGATCATTAAATCAGTTAAAATAAAGAAATATAATTAACACGAAATACTAAAGCGACAGTCATTAACTAAGAGACTGATGAATCTTTTACTTTTAAAATCAATTTTTGCTACTGAAACTACAAGATTCTAATTTCTCGAACGTGAAAAATGTTTTATGCACGTTATTACAGACTCTGCTTGCAAAAACGAAAGACGAAGAATCTATGGGAGTAGTTTTATTTTCATTACAGGAAGATCGATTAGCTTTTTGCCTTAATATTTTATTACAAGCATATTACCAACAAATTAACACATTTGAAAAATATGTATTACCTGTTAGCTTTGAACATCAATCGAATATCAACATTAATCCACGTGTTTCCAGGTAGCTAATAGGTTATGTCATCATTCGCCAAGTTGTGCTAACTGTAATTGCGCTCGCCAGACAAAAAGTAACGTACAAAAAATAAGATGCATCGCACGGGTGCTGAATACGGAACGCAATTTTCATTTTTACACGAGATACATTAATTTTACAGTTAATATTCAGGTTGCGATTCTTGTAGGTGTACCGCCATTTTGCTAATGGCTCCGGGAGTAGGTGATGTACTTATGTACCAACACTCCCATATCCTTCCAGCAACATCAGATTTGCTCATCACCGTTACACAATCTGCTTCTAATAAACAAGAGCGTAATTAGGTAGGAGAGTCGACGTAACTCGATCGCCGAAACAATGGCATACAACTAGAGCAATGATACCGACGAGTTTCTTCTTCGACGTCACCGTGAGCCGAATTGTTGCGTAACTCGTCAGTCAATTCGCACGAATCGTCAGGCTGCATGATGAAAGGTGCCACTTGCAGAAACAAAAGTGATCAGGAGACTAAGCATATCACGAGGCTCATGAGAAATGTGAAAGTTGTCCCAGCAGCGTGGGTGTAACCTATCTCACGCACGATTCACACGTTTGCCCGCGGTTACGGCCAGATGCATTCCCCTTGGACGATCGAACAGGAATTGCGTGGACCGTCCTGGGAAATTTTCAATTA